TGACATCTTCACAATATTTGTTCTTCCAATCCATGAGCATGGAACATTTTTCCATCTCTTTGTGTCTTCTTCAATTTCTTTCATGAGTATTCTTTAATTTTCTGAGTATAGATTCTTTGCCTCTTTGGTTAGATTTATTCCTAGGTATCTTATGGTTTTGGGTGCAATTGTAAATGGGATCGACTCCTTAATGAGAACTTGATTTTTAATCAGGCTGAGGCACATAATTTCCCCTCAAATAACTGGAGACACACCTGCTCATCTTGAAGCAGTTACTCTTATATCCCCTGAACTGATGAGGTGGTGGCCCACTGTCCAACATGGTGCCCAAGTGACAGTCTCAGAAAACTCCAGATCTGTGACTATTCCCAACATGAGATCAAACACAAGTGTGATGTGCTTCAGCCTAAGGGAAACATGTCTGTTTATTAAGGTAGCTGGCCACAGAAGTGACAACATTTTCAGTAGAAAAGCAGATTTTCATTTCTTATGTTCTGTCTAGTGATCCGGCCATGGCTGGGAGTTTCCCAGGGGCAGTGGCCACTTCAAGGAGCAGACTGTGGTATATCACCACCTGGGTTCCTGCTGCCCCAGTGAGTGGAAAACATGGGCCAAGAAAAGAAGTGCAAGAGCAAACCCAGTAGATTTCAAAGAGATCTGAACAGTTCCTTCAGCCAAAATAAACACTCACTTAAACTGTCTGGGAAGAAGTGCTGACACTCAACAGACGTCCACTGAATACCCACTACGTGCCACACGCACGGCAGCCAGTGGTGCCGGCAGGCCGTCTGTGTGCACACTCAGCCCAGGCCTGCAGGGCTCAGAGCAGAAGCACCACCTCGGGGCAAGAGGAGGTCAGTGGAGGAACGGCTAGACCAAGGCCCAAAGCAGGTGAGCCCCAGGCAGAGTCAGGGACAGCACTCAAGGCCACGAGAGCTGCAGGGTCAAGGCCACATGGTGCAAAGTCTCGGTGAGGGTCCTCCAGGGATCTGGGCAGAGAATGGCAGCAGCAGGGGGCACTCAGACATCTGGCTGTCTGACGGAGGATGGTCAGCCAAGGAAGCACAGCCAGGGGCTGCTGCCAGTCCAGGAGGTGGTACAGAGGAACAGCAGGTGGGCGGGGCACTGGGGTGGGCAAGCAGGCCAGGGCCTAGGGGCAACACCAGGCCTGGCTTTTATTCTCATCAAAGCTCCTGGTGACTTCTCACAGCCACACTCCTGGGGAAGCCCTGAGCATGTGAGCCACTTGTTCTCAAAGGTCAAAGGCAAATCCAGAACCCAGGTTTTTTCAGCCTGAGCCCCAAATCCACGCACATCAAACCAAACAGATTTAGAGCCAGAAGGGAATTCAGAAGTTTAGCACTGAAGAGGCACTGCCTTGGAAATCTGGCCCTCACTTGGGCTCAGAGCACATACCAGGATGTCAGGCCACCCAGCCAGCTGCACGGACTGCTCTGCTGCCCTCCCCACACGGCAGTGCCCCACAGTGCTAACCACCAAACCACTCATGAGCCCTCGTCCCTCACCGTGCTTAGCCTCCCGCCTGCGCTCTGTCAGCACCAGACACTAGAGGCTATCAACTCAGGACAGAAGGACGCTGGCTCCCACAACGGGCAGCACCGTGAGGCAGCATGGGTGGGCCTGAGGTGTAGGGCAGGGCTGGCGGCCACGTCTGGCTCCCCTTTGAGCAGGCACAGACACTTGGCAAGTCTGGTCCCCGTTCCTTCCTGAGCCCTGGGTGCCTGGGTGAACAGGGAGGACCAGCCTCCCTCTGGGCTGTTCGGAAAAGCTGTCACATCCCTCAGCCCCACAGACAGAAGACACAGGGACAAGCCCAGCCGAGCTGGCTCCTGGGAAGCACCTGGCAGGAGACAGACAAGGCACGGTCCCCCTCTCCCAAGAACTCAGGTACTGGTCAAGAAAGCGCCCCCAGCCCCACAACGAGGACGTGCACCATGCCCAGTATTGCAGAACATGCCACGCCTCCTCCAGGGTCACGGCTCAGCTTGTTCCTTTCCTCACCTGAGCGCCGCAAGCTCTTCTAAGAACTAAACCTATCCTGAAAATCAACTATCTAAAGTTACCAGCCCCAGCCCTGCCCCAGGCCTGGCCCCCGCCCTGCAGAAGTGGGTGGTGACGGGCACTGGGCCCCTGGGCAGGGCTCCTGCAGCTCACCCGAGCTGCTCCAACGGGAACTTGCCTGACACCTGCGCCCACCACCCACCCACCTGCCAGGCGCCCTCAAGGGTGGCCGGCGAGAGCACTCTCTGGGTATAGGCGGGAGAAGCGGCCAAGGGCCCAGATGGGGAAGACGTTCCTGTAGCTCGTATAGTTGATGGCACAGGACTTGTTGAAGACTCCAGCAATGTTTTCCTGAAAGAACACAGGGAAATAAACACAAAGGCTCAAAGGCTCCACCATGTGGCTAAGGGGCTCCCTGAATGGAAACCCCGGCCAGACAGTTGGGCAGCTCCTGGACAGTCCTGCTGCTGCCACCCTAGCTCTGGACCCCTGCCCTGCAGCAAAGCCTCCAGCCTGAGTCACCAGCTCCTCCAAGGGAGGGGGTCAGCCTTATGTGACCTTGTGATGCCTGCAGGACAGGTGAAGGCTGCTTCTGCACTCCCTGCTGAGTCAGAGCCATCAGGCAGAGCCTGAGGGTGCCCAGAACCCCCACCCCCACACCCAGCACCAGCCCTGCCTCTGAGCCAGGGCTTCATCTGCAAATATAGACCTGCTTCCAACACACGCTCTCACTGTGGTGTTTATGAATCTCAAATCCCCAAAGCTCACCAGCATGCCACAGGTGTGTGAAAACGATCATGCAAATCGAGGTCAGTGTTGGCTGGAGCCTTGCTCCTCAGACCTCCTTGGCATACCTGGGGCCAGTCGCCATTGGAGAGCTGTTTCCGAAGCAGACACCTGACTCCTCTCTCCAGGGCCTCTACGCAGGGATGCCTGGGGAAAGAGGAGGCACTGAACACATCTGCCGCCACTCTCTGGAGGAGAGCGCCTCTGGGCAAGCCCAAGCTGCATCCTCACCCTCACACAGCCAGGCGTGCACAGATGTGAAATCCAGTGTGATGACCGGACCTGCCCCGCCTGACACGCCCACTAGGAGAGCTGGCATGACAGGCCACTACTGCACATTTTCTACCCCAAATCCCAGACACCCAGATTCCTGAGAAATGCAGAACACAGCATGTGGGGAGGTGAGCAGGCCGGGTGGGCAGCCCCCCAAACATGGCTGGGTGAGGGCTCTGCCTGCTCCAGACCGGCCCCAGTGGCCCCAGCCACCAGTCGCTGCTCTTCTGCTCACGCCAGGACAGGAGGAGGGGAATCCTCGTGCCCACTACCCAGGCCCACTGGCCTTCAGGATCCTCTAAGGGCCACAGAAGTCACGTGTGCTAATCCTCACTCATCGTGCCAAGGGCTGACACACCACAAGGACTGTGGGGTCAGGAGCGGTGGGTGGCACACTGCCCTAGGGGTCCCCCACACACTCGGCTGTTCCTGTTCACACTGATGTAGCCTAACTTTGGGGGATTTTAGGAAGATTCCCCAAACAACCCCGAAGCCAACAGGGCAGCACAGACCGGGATACCGTGCGCGTCTGCGTGTGCCCGACACACGTGTGGAGGCAGGAGGGCCCAAAGAGAGCGGCTGCAGGGACCTGCCTCACCGCACCCTGTGGATACGGGCCCCCTCTCCCTTGCTAACACTTCGGGTGGTCTTCTTCTCAAAGGCGAGCCTCTGCGCAGGAAGCCCGCGTTTGGAAAGACCTATGCCCTTGCCCTGCACACTTCACCTCCTCCCATCCCTGCTCAGAGCTCAGCTGCCCACACCCCGCCCGAACTGCCTGCTCGAGGCTCAGTGTCCTTCCTCTCCTCGACCCCACTACCCGGGGATGGGTCCCACAGCCCCCACCTGACAGCCATCAGCCCCATCAGGGCCCAGCACGTGTTGTGGACCTGGGACGTGGCACTCTGCACATAACGCCGCTGCTCACAGGACTCGAACTCCTCCCCCCAGCCTCCATCCACCATCTGCCTGGAGAGCAGGAAGTCGCAGGCCTGGGAGACCGCTGCACACACAGCCCTGCAGAGACCAGTAAGATGAGAGACACTTCCACTCCAGGGGGGCCCCAGGACAGATCACCCACTGGCCAGGCCTCCCTGGGGGTATGGGGAGGAGTACAGTGCACTCCAGGCCCACCCACCATGTGATGTGAAGGGCACAGGGACACCTTCCTCCCAGATACAGCGAAAAGCTCTGTGGCTGCAGATACTGCGCTGGCGTGACCACCCCCCACCCGAAACTCCCAGCACAAAGCAGAGCTGGGTGAGGTGGCTGGGGACAGCTCAGACCTGAGGCCACCTCCCTTCTCTCAACCCAGCCCAGAGGGGGTCCCACTGGGGGTGGTGGCCAGGTGAGCCCAGAGGGTTCCTCCACATACAAGCTACTAGCCGGAAGCTTCCCAGAGCAGTGAGGCAAGGTCTCAGCTCAGTGTCTTTACTAGGCCACTGTCGGCTCATGAGCCAGGAATCTCACTGATTAGAAAAACACAAAATACGCCCCAAATCCAACATCAAAGGAAAAGACACCCCACCCCCAGCAGAGCGTCCTGCTGAGAAGAGCCCCACCCCACCAGGGGCAGGTGCCCTCACTCACCCACTGCGGTAAGTCTGCCCCATGCAGGCGAAAGCTTCTAGCCCAAACCAGGTGCCGTAGGTGAAGCAAACCCCCCAGGAGCTGGAGGAAGACAAAGGAGAGCCTCAGCCTTTCAGTCTCTTCAGAAGGGTGTTGAAAACAACAGGAATTCTGCCAGACTTGTGAGAACTGGTTCCATCGTGGGGTCGGGGAAGCTGACGTTATTTTCAAGAAAACCATCCACATGGCCTTCGGCAAGCCACCAACTTGTGCCTCAAGCTTTAAGGCTAAGCAAAACAGACCTGCCCAGCCTGGCCCTCACAGGATGTAAGCCCTGATCCACACCCAGAGGAGGGAGTAATCACAGACACGGACCAGGCCCCAGCCCACGGAGCCCTTCCCACCCACACACTTGGCCAAACTGCTTCAGCAACAACTGAGCAAGCACCACCGGGATGAGGCCAGGCGCTCAGACCCGAACAAGGTCCACCAGAACTCTGTTGCTGGCAGCCTCACTCCCAGAGACTTCTGGTGTAGCACAAGGACATAAGTGAGCATCCCAGAAGCACACTGAGAGCAGAGCCCTCGCAACCCCAGGCACGTCCGCACACCAGGAGCTCACTTACCCTTCCCAGGAGCCATCAGCCCGCTGCTTCTGCCGACAGAACTCCAGGCCCTGCTTGAGCGTCTCCCTGGAACACAGGAGAATGCTAACAAACTCTGCGGGGAAACGGCAATCCACCTACCCCGATTCCTCCCATCCTACCGCCTCAGACGAACGAGCATGGTTTCCCATAAAAATAGGTAAAAAGAAGCCAACAGTCGAGAGAAGAAACACAAAGGTCAGAGAGAAAGGGATGAGAGGACACGGGAGGGAGAAGCAAAGTCGTGGTGAGAAGAAAGCAGTGCAGGAGGAAAGTGGAAGTCAGCGACATGCCCACAATAGAAGCAGCTACAGACAGAATCTGTTTCACCACAATCACGTCAGCGACACAAGCTTGAGGAAATACACAGAAAGAAATTTTAAAAATTTTAAAAAGAAATAAAAAATCAGACAGAAGATGAGAGATCCACCCTAAGTCTAACTGGTTCTCTGAAAAGGCTGGAGTGAAGGTACAAAGGCAGCCCCCGAGGTGATCCCCAAGAGCCTCACCTGCAGATACCCGCCCCCGTGACAGCCCCCCCCCTTGGGACTTGTTTCCAAACAACAGACTGCAGCCAAGTTGACAGGACATCAAGTTTTATTTACTCATTTGAGAGCGAGAGAGAGAACGCACCAGCAGAGGGCAGAGGGAGAGGGAGAAGCAGGCTCCCCACTGAGCAGGAAGCCCGATGTGGGGCTGGATCCCAGGACCCCGAGATCGTGACCTGAGCCGAAGGGAGACGCTTGACCATCTGAGCCCCCCAGGCGCCCCGAGGAATGCTTTTTACTATTTATAATATTTTTAGAGCTTCCCTGTAAGTTTGAAATGAAGAAGAATTTCAAGTCAAGCAGAGTACCTAGCTACCTTAAACTTTATCTCTAAAATTCCCAGATAAATTTAACAATTTAGTATCACAAATTAATACATCTATTTAAAGATTAAACGCTTCTGTTCAAACTGTCTAGAGCTTTCCATGGTACTAACACTCACCCTGTGCTTCCCACACTGTTGCTCCCCACCTTGGGCAGGGCGGCCCGGGCCAATGGGTGACGTGACTGGGACCAGGACCACACCACCTGGAAAGGGCAAGGGCAGTGGGTCTCCCCACACAGGCTGTCCCCAAAATCACTGTGGCTCCAGGGAAAAATAATGGTCCCAGATAAAGATCTAATAAAACAACACTCATTAAGGTTAAAATAGGGAAAAGCTGGAAATGAAAATTTAGAAATAACCAAGAGGCCACTAAAACAACAAAATACCTGCAACCACTGTGACTCCTGCAGGAGAATGCGACCTGACAGGGGACAGCGTCCCCTGCCCTCAGACACCTCAGCAGCACAGACTGAGCCAGCTCCATAGGACCCACGGCAATGTGGGATCAAGCAGTCCTAACAGGTTCCTCCCTGCGGACAAGAGCGACTCGCTTCTGCATTCTCCAAGTCTCCTCCAAGAAGCACACTTTGTTATAAACTTCCTAAAATGATGATCTATTAAGGGAAAAGGTCAACTGCATGACAGTCACCGCGGACAAGCTGTGCCCAGAGGAAGGGACCACGGCTTATGGTGCGGCTCAGCACAGGGCCCACGGACCCCCCGGCCCTCGTGAGCGAAGCGCGACAAAACACAGGGCCCCCAAGTGGCTGCACCGCCTGCCCGAACAGAAGGAAACCAGCAAAACACAACCAGAAAACCCTCCGATTGTTTGGAAGTAAAGCCACATACTCCCTAAGTAACTCCTGGCCAGAGAAGAACTCACGACAGAAACAAAGTAATTTTAACTGAATGATACACCGAGACTTAACGTAGACGTAAACTAAGCACATTTAAAAAGAAAGCCTGAAAATCATTTAAGTGTCTAATTAGAAAAATAAATAAAGTCGATATAATAGAGCAAAAATTGATAAAACCAAAAACAAACACATCAAAAAAATAAACAAACGTATACCATGATAGAATCAAAGACTGAAAATGGTTTCTTTGAAAAGCCTGGTAAGACCAACAAGCTCCTGGGGCGCCTGGGTGGCTCAGTTGTTGGGCGTCTGCCTTCGGCTCAGGTCATGATCCCAGAGTCCTGGGATCGAGCCCCGCATCAGGTTCCCAGCTCATCAGGGAGTCTGCTTCTCCCTCTCCCACTCCCCCCTGCTCATGTGCATGCTCTCTAATAAATAAATAAATAAATAATCTTAAGAAAGGAAAGGAAAGGAAGACTGACAAGAGATCCAGGCGCCAACGTCGGGAAGGAAATGAGGACTCAGTGGGGATGGAGCTGCTGTTCAGGACACTGCAGGCAGCTCTGTGCAGATCCACATAAAATGGAGCTGATATGGGACAATCCCAAAACTGATACAAACACGAAGAAAAGGAAATCTATACAGTCCTAGAACAAGTAAAACTGAACCTGTAATTAAAAATTTAACACCTTCCCTCAAAGGAAACTCCAGGCCCAAATGGAGCCTCCAAACACTTGAGGCAGAAATAGCGCGAATTCTCACAAACTCTTCCAGAGAATCTAAAAAGAAAATATACTTCCCAGCTCCTCCTACGAGTCCTGCATCACTTTCACAGGAGAGCCTGAGCCTGAAAAGGACACTGTAAGGGAAACTACTCCATAACCACAGTTGTAAAAATCCCTTAAAAAGTACTTTTCAAACTGAATCCAGCAATATCTAAAAAGGAAAAGCACACTATGACCAAGCTGAGTTTATACCAGCTTTGCCGTGAAGCGTGGAACGAGATCACACTGGGGTGAAGGGGAACCCACAGGGGTGCACGAGGGTACCCCGTAACACAGTGAGTCCACTCCTAAGCACAGGTCCTCAAGAAATGGGTACCCTGGGCCCCAAAAGCACAGTGTGTTCACAGCAGGATGATTCAGAGGGACCAACTGAAAGACCCCTGAGGATCCAAGACAAACCGATGGATAAATAAAGTATGCCATCTGCACTCCTCAGACATGCTGACAGCAAAGGAGGGTGGGCTTGCTGCTCCGCGACCACCTGGCTGGGCCTCATGAGCACCAAGTGAATGGAGAAAGCCAGACCCACGAGTGCCGCCGTGGGATCCCCCAAGTGTAGGATCACAGCCACCTGAGGAGAACCAGAAGGGGAGCTTCTGGTAACATCTATGTGCCCGTTGGGGTCACACGGGTGTGTCCACTTCATGATAATTCATCAGGCACCACACATAAGATCTGTGCATCTCTCTCTACGCGTGCCAGACGTCAACAGGACAGGCTTATTTAAAAACCACCGTTTATGTGGACACAGGTGCAGTTGGGAATATAGATCTTTTTTACCAATATTAAGATGTGAAAAATAACTGATTTTTGTGTTACTGCTGTGATACTCTGAGCCCTTAGTACACATATTTGATGTAGAATTGACCTAGGAGGGGCACCTGGGTGGCTCAGATGGTTAAGCA